TTCTGGTAGAGTCTATGGAAGCCAGGGTTTGGAGAGGGGAGAGACCTCAGCTGAACAAAATGCCATAAAGTCCACCTTCCAAAGCAGTTATTTTCTCCAGGCAGGAGAAATCTGTTGTCTGGAGTTCAGTTGTGATACCTGGCGATCTTCAGGCTCCACCTGGAGGTTGGCTACCCTGTGTAGGAGCCAGTGTTTCAGAGCAGGGTCTGCTAGAAGATCTTGCTGTAGAAGATGAGTGGGTGATTTTGGATCACTTGATTGTATGTATGATGTAGGGTAGCCTTGTTATTGCTGGAATGTGTTAGAATGACAATTTATATGATGGGGGGCTGATTTGCTTTATAAGGCTGTATGCGGGGGGGCAATCTTGGGGTCAAGACATGTTGTAGAGTTGATTGATAAATTCTGGCTGATTGCAGAGAAGAGATCTTGGTCAGGAAGTTTTTTCCCCTCTCAAAAACGTATTAATTAATTTTTTTGATCTTTAATACCTAAATAATTTGAATTAATTTTTAAAATCATTATTTAGAAAACGTTTGTAATCTTTTATTTTCTAGTATTTACTTTTATTTTCCTATTTTAATTTAAAACGTTCTGTTCTATGAGCCTTATTTGTCATTTTAAAACCCTTTAATTATGTAATTATTTCTGTGATTTTGTAAACCCATCCTTTATAATTTTTTTAATAAAAATTAAAAGACAATATATTTTCAAATATTAAAAAGGCATATATATTTTAATTTTTTCTGAGACCAGCTGATGTAATTTAAAACAGTAGGGGGCCTCTGGGTTTTGTATAGCGTAGGGCCTCAGCAAGTCTAAATCCGGCCCTGACTAAACACCAAGGCGCACGGAACGCTGTTACCTTCCCACCGAAGTGGTACCTACTTATCTACTTGCAATTTCTTGCTTTCGAACTGCTAGGTTGGCAGGAGCTGGAACTAGAGACGGGAGCTCACTCCGTCATGCGGCACACTCGCGTCTCAAACTGCTGAACTACCGACCTTCCACAGCCTGCAGTTCAGCGTCTTAACCACTTGAGCCAAGGAGGCCGGGCTTTAAAAAGAAACGCGCGGAGCCTCGAGTGCCCAGGCTGAGAGCCTCCCCATCCTCTGCGCGCCTCCTCGGAAGTCAGCGGACCGGCTGCCGCTCCCCAGTAAATGAGTGCGGCAGTCATAGGA